ATGTTTTGGGTCTTATTTTAAGTTCTATTACACTTTATATGTGATCCTTTGTGCTAACTCTTTTATCAAAATTGGCACTTGTATAAAATATCTCAACCATTCACAACTTCTAAATCAATCAGGATGAAGTTTATATTTGTTTTTTTTAATAGCTATCATAATATAATGCACCTTTATAAACTCCTTTGACGCGTTCATACCTTATTTGTGATATGTTTCTTCAATTGATAGTTTTGCAGACATACACATTCAAATAATCATGTACTTTAAAATTCAGTATAAAGAAGTCATTTTTAAGTGTTTTCTTGTAACAAATTCAACATTATTTAAGAGAAAAAGGTAATTACTTTTTCCACATTTAATTGATGACCATGTTAAAGTGCCAAGTGAGTATCATGCATATTATTAATAAAAAAAAAAGTCCACACTGACCTGCCCTCATCCTTCAGCCTCCCAACCCGCAAACATGCCTGAAGACCAACTGAAATTTCTGTCAACATGTCTGATAACTTCTTCTGGATTAGCTGATTTTTAGCTAACGGACATCCAAACTGCTTCCTACAGACCAAAAACACTTTGAAGTTCAGCAACACACTATTAATCATATATATGTAATGGAAAATTATGTGAGAGTGAAAAACACTCTCAATCAGTGATGTGAATCTACAATCTTTCAAAATATAACTACAATTTGTATCTGAGTTTTAAAAGATTATTTTTTTGTAAAGTGCCCCAAATCATGATTATTGTAAAATATTATGTTTAAAAAGCTATCAAAATCTTGTATAATAAATTCTACATATTTTAAATATAACTTGATAAAATGTTTTCTTGTGATAAGTTTCTAATTATCTAATTAATTTAGAGATCTTCTATATTAGAAGAAACAGACTTGGATTTTGGTAAACATTACATATGTCACCAATGTATTCCACAATTTATCAACTGAGTTCAGTCCTTATAATAATAACAGCATTTTTAATATTTTCTATTTGTGTTTTAAAATTATTTTTGATAAAGCAAACAAAAGAAACAAATCTGAAATCTAGGTTTGTACAATAGTCTAACACAGTGGTTCTCAAACATTCTTATTTATGGACTACCTTAATTATTTTTTTTCTATCTCGTACCACAATGGGATTTATACACTATGTTTCTATTTCCTTTCTGTAACCGAGCAACCTTTCAACAAAAAATCTGAAGACCCCACGAACAATAGGTTGTGAACAACTACTGGTCTAACATAATTAAATCTTTATTAACAATGAGTGAATACATGTATCTGAATCACAGTTTATAAACTTAAAAGGATTTACCTACTTAAAAAAATAAGCTTCAATGATATGTAAAAAAGGTAAACAGGAAAGTGCTTTCCTGTCACCCATTTCCATATAGTTGTAAAGTCACTGTTGATATTATTGTTTTCCTATCCACCTTTTTTACATAGCAATAAAGACACTCTTGGAATCATTGCTTTCCTGTCACCCATTTCCATATAGTTGTAAAGTCACTGTTGATATTATTGTTTTCCTATCCACCTTTTTTACATAGCAATAAAGACACTCTTGGAATCATTGACAGCTCATAAGATTGTCTTTATTGCTATGTAAAAAAGGTGGTCATAAAGACATTAATGTCAACAGTTGCTTCAATACTATATGGAAATGTTGGACAAGAAAGCAACAATTTCAAAAGTGTTTTTACTGCTAGGTCAAAGAAAAAGTGGGAAGAAAAGAAACGATTCCAAGAATATTTTTACTGTTATATGTAAACGATGGAAAGTATAATAAAGCTTTTGAAATTGTTTGCATTATAAGAAAATAATGAAAGACAAATAAATTGAAAGAGTAACAGTTGTGAAAGAACAATTGCAATTCTGTAACAAAAGTTTAAGGATTTAATGTTCACCGTTATTTTCTCACTATGACAATTTGAAACTTGTTAAGATAAACACATCTCTTGTTATTATGAATTGTGGTATCGTTAACATAAATTTTCTTCTCAAATTACAATTTAGGCTTACCAAGTTAACCTCAGTGTTACAGCTTATAGTACAAGAAAATAATAGTGAAGAGCTATAATTTAACAAAACAACCTAATATCACTAATTTAACCTATTATCTGAAAATAAGTTTAACAAAACAATCTAATATCACTGATTTAACCTATTATCTGAAAATAAGCTTCCATGGACCCCAATATTATACATTTCTTTAAGTATTTTTTGATATTTCAAATTCATGTCATCATTCTATCTCAATGATAAAAGATCTCAACTCTTGCTTAACAACATGATTCCTGTTAAAAGAACAAACAAATGGTTAATTAGATGAAAGACAAATGAGAGAAAACACTAAACATACCTGTCCAGGGTGTACTGCCTAGCAGTTTCAAGACAAAACTCAGCAGCACCCAATGTTCCCCAGGAAATTCCATATCGGGCATTGTTGAGGCAACCAAATGGACCCTAGGCAATTAATATAAAACATCTGAATCAGGAAATATTTGAATGAACAAAAAAAAAAAGTATGTGTACTTTATATTTCGTTAATGCTGACATTCTAGATTACACATTAAATTCTATATCTACATCATAGGTATTTTACTTTGGAAACATACATTAATTACTCTGTTTAAAGAATTATAAGTCATATGTATATATCTAGCCAAAAGAGAAATGGGCTGAAAGAAATCAGTATCTATCTAAAAATTAACAGACATTTGATCTGCATGGGTTTGAAAAAGTCCTTGAAATTCTTTAAAATATAATAATAGTATTGGCATACTTTAGACTTGCTAACAACTTGATTTTTCAAATGTTCTAGAATTCAATAAAGTGAAATTACTAAACAGCGGTGGTGATCTTTAGTAATAAGAAGCACTACAATGCTTACTGGGATTAGAGAAAACATAGTATTAGTACACTTTACCTTTAACCCTTCTACATGAGAAAGGAGATTTGCTTCAGAAACAACAACATCTTCCATAATAATCATGCCAGTATCAGAAGCACGCAAAGAAAACTTTCCTTCAATTTTTGGTGCTGTCAGACCTTGCATTCCCTTTTCCAAGATAAAACCACGAATTATGTTATCATCACATTTGGCCCAAACAATAAATACATCTGCTATTGGTGAATTTGTAATCCTGGAATATAGCAGAGAATTATATATATATATATATATGTGTTTGTATTTTTATATAAGTAGGGGTGAATTAGGCTTATTTAAGGAGAGAGTTTATAAACAAAATTCTGTATTCTGAAATAAAAAATTCTTCTAATCTAAAATAAAGCCTAACTTTCTTACATTCTAAGAACAACTGAACAAGCCAAATATAAACAGGAAAGCATAGTCATGCAATAGTACTGTCAGTATTCAGGAAAAAAGTGAAGTTTTAGTTATGATTTTAATTGTCTTGGACATTTATAAACAACATTATATATGTTTTTGAGCATGCATATAGTCTGTTGTTGTTGTTGTTTACAATCAACATTTTCAGACATTAGTTCAGTAACTAAATAGTTAACCATTGACGAGGTAGATTTTTGTCTGAATAAACTTTTAATTCTGTAGCAAGTTGGAGATAACATATTCTCATTCATAAATGCCACAATGCTATAAAAATAAGGGACAAGATTACAAAGATGTAGCATAATTAATAAATTATACAAGGTTAGGTTATATATATCTCACTTAACAAGCATAGCAAATGTAAAAATAATCAGCTTCTTACATACTTATAGTTTAATTTAGTAAATATAACAGCTAGTCTTTCATTAAATATAAATATTTGCACTTCTGCAACATGCTCCAAATATGTTTTGCTTTGCTTTTTGTCCCATGATGGTCCCTATCAACTATTTCTGATTTGCTGTCAGAAAACTGTGAAGTTTAATGAACTAGAAAACATTAAATAATACTGTTTTCTAAACTTACCATGTCTTACTTCCATTCAAAACATAAACTTTATCCCTGGAGTTATATTTGGCCTTTGTTTCCATACTTCCTGGATCACTGCCATGATTGGGCTCTGTCAAACCAAAGCATCCAATCGACTCCCCACGGGCTGCAACATGTTAAAACATGATTTTTGTAAAACTATGTTTCATGTTTTTTAACAGTGCAATAGTAAAAACTCATTTTGCCATATAATTTGTGGAAAATGGTTGTAATAAATCTCCACGAAGCAAGAAAAATAGGATGAATTTGTTAACACAGTGATATTTTAGTTGTCAATACTTTATGAAATATTCATCAATCTACATGCTTGTAATCTGGAGAGCTATTTTGTGAAATAAAAATTAATAAATATTTTCTTCTATAAATTAATACAAAACACAAGCAGAGCTGAGCAATTAGTGGAATTTGTTAACTGATTAATTGTTGGGCTCACTAATTGATTACATTCATCCAAATTTTATTATTTTTACACAAGACTTCTATAGTTTGAATGATCTACATTAGTAATAACCGGAAACTCTAATTTTGATTAGTTGGTTATTTTCATGAGTAGTGACATCAATCAATTAAACTGAAGAGCCTTGAACTAATTAAAAATAATAACGAGAAAACATAATGACAATAATATGAATAAAAGTTGGGATAATCAAAAACTCCAATTTTGATTAGCTGGTTATTCTACATGACAATAATTAATGGAATCGATTATATCGATTAACTGAGTTAATTTTACAACTCTAAACATAACAGGTTTTTTTTTTGCTTGTAAACTACGTTTCACTGCTAAAAAAAATTGCTTGTGACATAGTTTTATAATGTTTTGTTTGTAGTTAAGCACAAAGCTACACAATGGGCTATTCGTTCTGTGCTCATTATGGGTATTGAAACTCAGTTTTTAGCATTATAAGTCTTCAGACTTACTGCTGACTCAATGGGGTGCATTTTATTATTTAGTTGGTAATATTTTTACACTGAACATGCTTTCAGATTGAGCATCTTGTTTTTGCCAGTAAGACTAAATTTTGTTTAAACTACCTGAATTTTGGGTAAACACTTTAAATAGCAGGTCCTATAGATCTAAATTTTAGTTTTGTTAGATGAAAAGTCTATAAATCAATTAAAATTGAGCTTATACAAGTATACAGGCCATGCATAAAGTTACTTGTATAAAGGTTTTCAAGTTTTGTACTGTTCTGTACATACATTTTTTACAGCATCATAAGATAGAAAAATAAACCAAAATAGTAGGCTGTAATTTTTCATAAGCTAGGTTTACTTTAGAACACTCCATTTTTGTAAAAACTGACAGAAACATTGATTCTATTACACTATATATAATTAAAGCCACTGTTTTATTGTGATTTTTTTTTATTGTTCTGGTTTTTGTTTTCTAGCATAGGTATATATGTTCATGTATATACCCTGCAGACTTTACACTTTCTTAACTTCTTGAATCCTGATAAATCACAGGCAGGAACGTATTACAGAAAAGAAGTATTAAATAACTGTCCTCTAACAAAGCTGTGATTAAATGAATTATCTTAAATAATATGGTATATAAAGAAAATGATTTTTTTTTTAATCAAATGGTTTTTAACATGAGTTTCAGCACGATACATACAATGGTTAAGTTGATCATGATGTCACGAAAACACTTAGGTTCAAGAAATCAATTTAACCAAAAAATACAAAACCCTATAATCAGAGAACTTTCGAAAGGTGGACCTTTCTTCTTCACGGGCAAACTGCATTTCCAGTTTGCTGCTGAAGAAGAAAGTTCTACCTCTGAAAAGTGCATTAGGTTATTTATGTTTAAATTACGAAGATCCAAACTTTTTGCTAAATATTGTGGCTCTTCATCATGTTGGTTTGGTTAGAAAGTGATTGCAAAGGATTTTTCTAAACAGTCTTGAAAACAGAAAGTTTGAATGTTGATAAGCAAAAACCTGCAAATATATTAGACGATAAATCAACCCTAATTAATCAAGCAAATTTCCAATACTTCCTCACTTCTCTATTAATTATAAGGTCATGAACATAAGGCACAAGAATTACTTATTACAGGCCTAAAATATGCCACAAGTAGAATCTTGGAAGTGTACTCATGGTGGCTAAAGGGTTGGATAAAACTAGGAATGATTCATGTAATAAGTGAAAAACACTCAACGCACTGGCTAGAATGAAATTGGAGGTGTGTTTATCTTTGCCAGAATCTTATGTGTATAAAGACTAAACGACTAAGTCATGGAGAGACCTTTAGGGTTCAGACAAAGTGATCCCTAGTTTTTGAACTAATGACCAAAGAGAATGCAGTCAGCTAGAAGAAACTGTTACTACAAGGACCTTGTTTGGCTCTTTGAACCAAAGTATGAGACTAACTGTAACTTTTATAATTCAACCATCACTGAAAGTACAGTTTATATTCAATGGGATCAGGTATTGATAGTATAGACCCTTCAATCTGCACCTCAATATGCTAATTACTAGGCCATGAAAGAAATTATATTTTAAGGTGTTTTTACATGCAGTATCACCTAGTATGTATATATATATATATATACATATATATAAACAAAAGTTAGTAATTGGTTTCGAGATAATGTATAGTGATTGATAACAGTCTTTGTCATGACCATATTATAATAAAGTTCCTTACCTAATTTTGGAAGATACTTTTCCCTCTGTTCTTCTGTGCCATAAGCATAGATAGGGTGCATTACCAGGGATGACTGTACACTCATAGCTGATCTGTAGCTGCTGTCCACTCTATAAAATACCATACACCAAAAACAATAAATGTAAACACGTACACCTCAACACCTCTTGTAACAGTAAGCCCAATAGTTTTTGTATTTCTCTCACATATTTTAAAAAGTACTAAATAATTGGGATTCAAACATCAGGAAGTTAAAATATTTAATCTTAGACACATTTAATTTGTAAATAAGTTATCTTTTTAAATATAAGCAGAAACTAGAATCCTGTATAAGAGATTCCATTAGCAGAAAACTTGGAAAGAGGTACTTACAAAGCGTTATTGAGAAGTCAAAATATGTTAAAATTTGAGAATACCAAAGTAAGGAAATTTAAGTGTTAAAAGAACAGCATTGTTACATATGAATTAACATTCCATCCTTAACTTCTAACCCACAAATGGTTGTCATTTATCTGGTATCACATATTAGCTGGTAACTACAAATAAATCCCATGTTATAACCATGAAAGTAATATAAAGAAATTATTTTGCATAACCGAAAAATCTACAATTATAATTCATCAATCAAAAATTGTTCCCGACATCAGTAGTAAATCCTATTATGTTTTTGAATATAAATAGAAGATTCTTTTATGTTAAAGTTTTCAAAATGGCTTCTAAAATTGAAATACAATAGAAGGATGACATTTTTTCATGGATTACTAGTGTCTTAAGTACCTGAAAAGATAAAAACACACTGTAAAACATGAAAGAATGATAGAATGAGATTATAGAAGAAAGTGTTTTAATCTTCTCTAACAGAAAGTGTGCTATTGCCCCAAGGAAAAACAAAGTGAGCATAACTGATGGTAATGGAAAAGTTTAACTAATGCTTATTTGTTGAAAATTGTTTTTCTAATACTAAAACACTGCTTTAGTTGGTAACTTAACATACTATTCTGATAGGCATTTTATGACTTCTTTTTGAAAAATAAAGTAGAACAATGCTCCAAAGTAGCTAACCAAACAAAATAAAAAAAAAAAAGAAGAGAAAGAGAGAGCACCTTTAAAAAGACATTGCCACTCATAAAAGTCTATTTATTTTGTTAGTGAAAAGTCTCACAAGCAAAATAGTTCTACAGAATGTTCAGAGGGTGAAAGTGCTAGTTTTGAATAATAAGTTAGGGTCATTTAAATTACAATAAAAGTAACTTGGATAGCAAGGTATATATAAATGATGGTAACTGACACATTTCAGAAAATGTTAATTCCATAGGGCAATACTAAAGTTTCTTGGCCCTACATTTAAATCTGTTCTATGTATATAATGTTTTATCTACACTCATTGGTTCTATGGCAGTTTATATGCCATCTTTATATACTGTTCACATATTCTTGTACATTATTCTGAAATGTGTGAAAATTAAACGAATTATTATATTAGTCTTTGTCAGCTATCTTTTGAACCATTCAATATTTCCAGTTGTTGTTGTTTTTTTCTACTCTCATAATACATTAATTTTAAGTTGCATGTATAACATTGTTTGATTGGTAATTTATGCATGTTCTTATTTAATAAAATAGTTTCTGTTACATTATGCAGTGATGTTGTTGTGGTAACTTAAAGAAAATTAATCTAATTTAAAAACAAAAATGAATTACTAATGAAATATTCAAAACCATAGTAATAATTAATGTAACTAGTAAATTGCAATTTATAAAAACAATACAACATAGTACACTAACTTATTGCTAGATATACAGTTGAAAGCCACATACAAGTAACATTTTTTATGGTTTGAAATAGATGAAGAATATTGCAGGGGCCATACTTATTTTTCACCTGTGTCAATCACAAGTACCTCTCAGTAATCACCTTTTCCTTGGCCAATCACCTTAAAATGTCTATTTGAGAGTACATGAAGAATTATGAAAAAACATAACTGAATCATTGTTGAGTGCAAAAAAAAATTATCATTTCTTCATTGTAAGCTAGCTTTGGATGTGAAACTGAGCCTCAAGAGGTGAAAGATAACAAGTTGAGAATCCATGAATTTATTGGTTATTATTTTAATAGCATTAATACAAATTTATAGGTTCTTAATTTAATAAAACTGAGACAAATTTCAACTCTTTGATTATATTGAACAATATAAGACTACTGAGTAACTGAAAGATGGTCAAGGTAACATAAAGTTAATATTAGCACAATGTTTGATGTACTGGATTTGGAAGTTTAAACATTTTTCTAATCAGCACTCCAAAAGAAAAACGTCGTAGCTGTATTTGTTTGGCTGAATCACTCTGAACATTCTACTAATGTCCCGACCCATTACAGAGGAAATATTTGAAGGATGATAGCTTAATAAAGATAGCTTCAATAAAGTAATTCATATACATATTCTATTTAGTTTTCAATTTTGAATTTATTTCCACTTTCATTAATGTGACAATTTATAGAGAATCTCAAAGCTTTAGAGAAATTTCATATAATTTATCAATTGACCATAACTTACCGTTCACATTCTCGTGCAATGAGTCCATAAGCCACATAAGAAACTCCAGCACATCCATAACCTGTTATAGTAGGGCCAAGAACTCCTAATGTCCCCATTTCTGGGAGGATTTCTCGGTGAAATACTAACAAAAAAAAAAGCTTAGGTTGTAGCAATCTAACTGAACATAAATATTTGATCTACATATAATTAACAAATTAAACTTGGTTACAAAAAAAAGTAATAACATAATGTTGATTTTTCTGTGGCCTTAACCTCTGATCCTTGGTTATCTTGACCATTCTTAAAATTTACGATTCACAAGTTGTCATTTATCCAAACTTGGCAACAAAACTATAATATATACTGACTTTAACATTAATATCACTTTGAACAATTGCTTTGAAGGTCAATAATACATTTCGGAACAATTGTGATTGTGAGCTAAAGACGAAAACTTATTGTGAATCATACTGTCTAATCACTTGAGTTAAGTACATAACAGCATAAACACAAACACACAGACTTGTGTTTTTTTACAGACATAATTGTTAACTGTCATTATAAACTTCAAGCTCATGGTCACAGCCTAAGAAACATTTCTACATGGATTATATGAAATTTGTTTGAAAAACTGTAGGAAGCACTGACGACCAAATGCCTAATGAAAAATGTCCGAGTTCATGGTAAATAGCTTTATCAAGAAAAACTGGACCTGTCTTTTCTCTTTGTATGTGTGCATAACTCCTCCATGTAGATAATTTATATAAATGCTTGATGAAATTAATTTGAAGGTTGTTTATAAAGAATTAAACAAAACAGCCATATGTACATTAAATTACATGTAAGGTTCACAGAGAAATAATCCTCAATAAAAAAGAAATATATCCTTCTTTAAAATATACACACCTGTCCAAGCCATACCCTTAATAAAGTTTTATGATTCAAACTAAAAGTGTTAATTTCATAACATGTTTTTCAACATTTGAAACAGAGAAACAATATCAATGATGAATCTAATTGAGAAGTTACGAGGAAACCTGGAGATAACCACCCATGCTTTAAGTTATTTAAAGTGTGGCTATCAATCATTCATATTTCTCTCTACAGCAGTCAATACAACTTAACTAGCAAACATAACAGAGCTCTCTTAGATGCTAAAGTGTAGGTGTAATTTTCCATATGTAATAATTATTAGAGATAATTCCAGTCATGGCTGAACCATACCTAGTACTGAGACTCACAACAAAAACACTTAAGTATTGCTCACTGCTACCATAGGTTTATATTATTCACTTTGACATGAATATATGTTTGTTGTTCTTGTATTTAATAGTTGATTACTTTCATGCTATTAATCAATTTAATCCTAATTTTGATTAATCGATTATTTTATGCAACACTAATTTATTCAATCAATGCCCATAGGTATTATATCTATTAATGGAGTGAAGTCTGGTTGAATTCTGACAGTCAAGTTCAACTGGACCTGTTGTTTACCCTTGACTGTGACATATAGTATAACAAATATATTATGGACTTAATCACAAACATTAAATAAAATTGATACCGACAACTTTCATACTTTCAAAGTGGGTAATAAAGTTTTGTACATGTGCCTTAAACAAGTTTTTTTATATATACCTTTTGATGATTGCTTTAATATAAGTCAGATAAGCTACTGATTCAGTTACCGAATACAAATATATTCAATGTGGTTTTGAGAGATTCATAACAAAGCATGATCTCTTTCACAATGTTATTCCTAGTCAAAAAATACATACTTTCTTTCCTATTGGCCATCAGAATCCTAGGCATTAGCTTCTCTTGGCAGTATGTACGAAACTGATCTCTGATTAACTGTTCCTCTTCCGTAAGCTGACTATCCAAGTTGAATGCATCTTGCCAATCAAAATTTGCTGAAAAACCAAAACAATATGATTGGACACAGTTATTTGTTATGATCACTTTTTAAATGAATCAAAGAAGATTACTTACATAACTTTAAACTGACAAACAGAAATTTATTCTCATTTAGCAGAATTAAAAAAATAAAATAAAAAAGTACCTATTTCAAAACTCTCCAGAGACTGTGATACACAATACTGAGTCTTTTCTGGTATATACTTCTTTTATCATTGACTAGTAATGTCACAAATTAGAAGAATATTTATTAATAAGTAGCACATGTAAATAAACACTTATATTCTTGCATAACACACACACACACATTTTCTACGATTTTTAAAATCCTAGCTATTAAGTTTGTTGCAATTATTCATATTTTGATATATTTATCACTGCATATTTCAAAAATCAAATCATTCTCTAAACAGTGCTACTATATTGAAAATACAGTCACTGTTATCAAAGCTATAAAATACACACTTCTATGTGAATGGCATTCATTCTGTCGAAACAATGGCTGTGGGCTCAGCAAAGATGTGTCATACTTAATTTGTGACTTGAATAACTTTATAACTAATGGTTTTATTTAACTAATAGGCATTGTTGTTAATAATGAATTCAAAGGGACTTTTATATAAATAAACCTATTGGATGGACTAGTATTACAGCCTAGTTTATTCCATAAAATTTACACAACCCCAAATAACTAAAATATTTAATGATGTATAAAAATTATTTTGGAATCTTAACAAATAAATTTCTGAATAAACTTAACAAAAAAAAAAGTCTTTATCACATAAGTCTTTTCAGTAATTTTTATGGCTGTCTAATAGTGAAAACTAATGTTAATGTTTTATATATGTAGAAGAATTTTAAGGACTTACCCTTAAAAACATGTTCTTTTTTTCTTTTTTCAACACCAGGTTGAGCTTCTAACAATAATTAAGGATCTCCAGTTAGGAAAATGAAAATGGTAATTTAATTTGCATGGTTCACTTGAATTGTAAAGATCTTAAAATAAAAATTACATTCACATGAAAATGTTGACGTGTTAGTAAGATAATTATTAATTTACAAATTTGAAAAATGACACAGTACTCCAGAAAATATTTATTTACAGATATTTTACTATCAGGGGCATATAAACTATGTAAGCAAATTCTCCAGATAAAGCTATTGGCATCTTATACATATAATAATAATAATATTAAATATTTTAGTTTTATGACATCTTCAATTGTAGAATTTTTTAATTTCACCATTACGTACTATAATAAAAAAAAATATTTATTTTCTCTGGTATAGGATTGACAAGACAGTCAACTGACCAATATCAAATTTTGCTATATATATATATTTCTATTAATATCTTTTTTAAATAGTGAACTGAGCAGATGGGAAGATATAAACACTTCCTTTCTCACAAGTAGTCGCTTTATACAAGAGCCTAGGTCTTATAAATAAGTAATAGCTTACCTATCTTATTTTTCTACTACAGTCTAGCCTCAGAAGACTGAATGGATAACATGGCTTTATTATATCAAAGGGCCAAAAACATTGATTAACAAATCTCATAATTATCAACAATATTGAAAAATTACTTGTATTTACTTTTATATTTTCAATTTTTATAACATGGATAAATAAATATACTTTTTTTATAGCATAGAGTCAAATGTTCTCGCTGCACATACTTGTGGGGATTCAATTATTCCAAAAGGGGTTGAGAAAGTGCTAAAGTTTAACTATGTGTAGGTTTGATGATGATGATAATCAGATATGTTACATTAATTACCTGGAACTCTTTACAACTGAGTGCTTATTGGTTGAGAATTTTTCAGAAAGGAAGTTCTTTCAAGGTATGCTTTGTAATATTGTTCTACAGAAAGAACAACATTTAAATAGTCAAATGATAGTTTTATACTAACAATTTATTTCTTATCTACAAACAAAGCCATGTTTCGTTATAGAAAACCAAAAATTTTTGTTTGGGAGATTTACCATAAGAATGGTAAAACAGTTAAAGCTAAGTATAAGCATGTTTAGTTGAGAATGTGACCCATGCTGACTGTACTTACTAATCTACACCCTACATTTCTGTGACTGTTAATTAAAGCAAAATCAAGCCAAAGGTCAACACTAGTTCTGTTGTCACTTCTTTACCCTTGCCACTACAGCAACTAAATCACTCCAGAGCAAATAGGAAACCCTTATTGACTTTGATGATGATAAAACTAATATTATGATGAAGAAGGTGAAAGTCTTTCATCACTCTCCCCTTTAAGTATGTTATCCTTTTCCACTCCAAATAAGTTAACATGTTTCAGAAGGCTGCATCAAATAAGCATTACTGGATCCATCAACATAATGTTGTTGAGCAATAATGAGAGCCTGAACATCTGTTTGTTTATACTATCTAAACAAGTAACATTTCTTTCCACATTGCTGACACTCCCTATGTTGAGTATAGAACTTTTGCTTTCAGAAGATGTATCCAATCTACATGCTTTCCAGCAATAAGCACAAAACCTTCTTAATATTTAAATACAAATGTTCATCAGAAGTTCAGTTTCCAATCAAAGAAACACTTCGTGTCTCTGTGTCTGGAGTAATATTTGCACTGAAGGAGTAATACGTAATAAGTATTTTCTGTTGTTATAGGTAATGCAGTAAACATGAAGGTAGTTCCCATAGATACCTCTCTTCACACATCTGTTCTTCACACATGTGCTTTTGAGATTTTCTGCATGCCACTAGCATTGAGCTATCTCCCACCTAAGACACATGTTATAATGTGAACTGCAATAGTGCAAGATGTAATCATTATGTGACAATAGGAAGGCAACAATATGACACAGAAAATTTAAAAACATTATCACCATTTATCTTTGCAAGAGCCAATATTCCAGCTCTCAATTCCAGGAATGCTCTGTAAATTTTGTATAGCTTAATAAGTTTTGCCAATTAAGTCTCAAAAATCTTGAAGCCTGCAGAAAGACACTGCAGACAGCTGCTGTAGAAAAAGTGTTTTCTGTTTACTATCCTAAGGAGATCTATTCTAATATCCTAGATATCAGAATTCACCCAGTTCATTCAACCTGGGGCTCAGTTAGATGAAGAATGGAAGCAGTTTCAGCTGTGTTATCTGATACAAAGCAATAATGTTTTTACCGCTTCTGTGTTTTCTTCCGTTTCTTCTTTGCATCATGGCATTTATGTTGAATGAAAATCATGCATTATAAAACAAGAAACTGGCTGAAGATATGTATAGTCACTGTCTATCACAATCTCTGTTTCATGAAAGAGATTTGAGAAAAATTGCTGGCTCCATATTTAGCTGATTATAATGAGATTCTTGAAACCAATGATGAAGAGGGAAGGGCAAAGAGAATATCCATAATATAAGAAACAACAACAAAAAAAGTATATAATCAAATTTGTGTGAGAAAGACAAAGCCTTCGAGAACCAATCTGACTTGTCAAAGACAGATTTTTTTTTTTTATATAAGATATCCATTTTCTATAGATAAATCTTGAAAGTGAGTGGCTCAGATATTTAAATATATTTTATGCATGTTAAATACTTAAAAGTGCATTTCACTATTTTTCATAAATTTCTGTCCCATTGTTTCAGACTTAGCTTCACAGTCACTAAGATCTTATTGAAAAAATGGCTTATTACTTTCTTAAGCACTATCAAATTGGCATAAGTGTATGTGAGAAAGATTTATATCAAGGTCACTGTTAAATGTTGAATTTTCTGTTGTACATTTTTATCATAAAAAAAACATTGTGTCATTTGTTTATAACATTATAGCAATTGTAAAGCTAAGTAAGGTGACAGAGTTGTAAGGAAAACCAGTAGTAAGATAAATGTCGCAACATTCTTATACTTACTTAGTTTACAAAATGATTACTAAGCTTGAGCAAATCTGTCAGTGTTACAATATACAAGTACTCCCAATTGTATACAACTAATCATATACCCAGAACAAAACGTGCTCATATGCACACAACTTCTTTAAATCATCAGTTACACAGTAGCAGAATATCCATATATTAATTTAATTATTATTATGCACTTAATTTTCCAATACCATAAGTGAGTGTATAGTACACTCTCCTAATGCATTAGCAATATTTCAGATGATTTCAGCATTATTGTTGGAATAACAAGCCCTCTCATAGTGTATACTCTTTACCAAACTATCAACAATTTCATTTCTGAGAGGCTATGTCATTCCAACTGCTACAGAAACTTAGGATAATGGAAAATAAGGCCAGATACTGAAGGTTATTCCTATTAGTATTAGACCAATAGAAAGATGAATGTCTTAATAGTTAATGATAGGACAGGGGTGGTAGAATTTGCTAAGATTAGTTAGAACTGAAATTAAAATGATAAATAATTAATAAACAAGTTACTCAATATCATTGATTATCAAATAAATTAGTTCTTTTTAAAAGGATACGAGAAGAGACTGATCTACGTTGTCGTTGATGGCTACCTGGAGAACTGTCTATGATAGTGCTTGCAAGATGTCTCGTTCGAGTACTTGATCCTTGCCATAAATTGTGTACCTTATTGATGAAGTTTGATTCACACGTAAGTGGCTGGGTCTTAACTGTATTAGAGAAACCTGATCGGAAAACTCCAATACGACCTAGTATCATTTTACTCATCATATGTATATGTATTCCTGTCTAACGTTAAGTTTAAACTTAGTTAGCAACTAATAATTAACAATTTAAATGGAGACTAACGAGTACAGTTAACTTCTATTCTAACGAATAAGAAATAATAGTAATACAACAATCAAATCGCACTAGGTCCGAGATTCAGTTGTTTTACTTTTAAGTTTTAGTCTCAGTTCACATGCAAAACATATATATATAATAAGATTTTCTTATCTTTTAATTAATTCTTAGCCTTCACAAATAGACCTCAAGTCTAAATTACATGAAATATTTTTGAGAGAAATTCGAAAAAGATGTCGTATATAGGAATAATTTTGGCTTATAGTTATATAACACTTTTGAAGGCCAAAACATGCAACTACTATATTATTTTTACAGCATATAGGTGACGCTGAGTACATATTTTATTATAACAGGTCTCTATAACCTACTAACTTATTTTAATAAATCGCAAAGACTATATAATACACCTTATAAAAAAATACAATCAACCATGAAATTTTATAATAACTAGACTTATATGAAACATAAAACACAATTATAATAAAAATCTTAGACAAAAGCAATGACAAACGAGGTTACACTATAAACGAATCAGATAAAAACAATGGACATATATATACACTGAGTGGTCACAAGTAAATAGACACCTAATTTTTCGTCATTTAACTGATTTATACTAACTAATTTGTGTTCACAGAGCACTATATAAATGAAAATGGTCCGCACACTAATTATATTGTGCTACAACATGCCTAGAATTTAAGGTTCTCTCGAATTTTCAGATTTTGTTATAGGAAGGATAGTTGGTCAAGCAGATGGTGGAATAAGTCAGCGGCAAATTTCGCAGAATTTGGGAATCCCGCTTTCGACAGTCAACAGAATCACCGTGCAGTTCAGGAAACACGGCAAGGAAACAACTGAGCAGCGTTCGGGTCGTCCTGGTCCATCGGAGAGGGAAAAAAAATGGCTGCCAAGAGGAGCATCGAAATGGATCCCAGATTAACGACTGCAGAAGTGGCCAAAGCTGGTGGGATGAGCCCGAAGTCTGTTC